TTGTGGGTCTTAGGTAAGCTTATAGCAATATTTACTACTTGTCACATACTGAAAAATAGATACAACGATGTAATTAAAAATATATTCCTCATCGCAACATACCTGATCTTGTAGTCATGATAAAACTTTAAAGCTTGAACTAGCAATAAAAAGTACTAATCTTTTGTTTTATGACAGGGCTAAGTTGTATAGCATATTGCTGAGCGGAGATGAACGGAAGATGGCTGCAGCGGGTACAAATAAAACTCTCGCCAAGAGAGAGCTGTCCCATGAGGATTACGTGGCATCACTGTTTGGCCGTGTTGGGAAAACGGTCCGTCAGCGCACCATTCGATCCTACAGTCACCAGCTTTACACGATAAAGCAGCCTGCTGTTTCACGTGGAGACAGAAGACCGTTATCAGGATTTTAAGGACATATCTAATTAAAACTTTTATTATGTTCAGGTCAGTGGGAGTTGAAAGGAATCGATAGAACTCCTAAACTGGTTGAGCTGCATCTGCAACAAGAGGATGAGTCCTTATGCCAACTCTAGTATAATATAGAAATCTAAAGCTAAGAGTTAGTTCTCAAGAACACGCACCACATTTGCAACGTTTTTATCTTGCTTTTATCATCATGCCACCTATCTTGATTACATTCTAAAGAGCACACTTTAACGATCAAATCCCAATTCAGAGAAGTTAAACGAGTGAAGGAATGTCTGAAGTCAGACGCAGAAATGGCCATAATCCATATGGATTGGAGTACTATTTTGGCCATCAAACAGGCGAGAGCAACTCAAGGACACTTCTTCTTCAACAAGCAAGTTTCGCTGCATCCGATGGTGATGTGGCACCAGGGAGGTAGCTCCTCAATCTGCACTTTCTCGGATTGCTTGGACCATAAGGCTGCTGCAACATGGGCTGGAATATCAAGCCTGGTGGACAATGTTCTGTGTGAAGGATATAGAAGTATGGTGTTCATATCAGATTCCCCGACTAAACAGTATCGAAACAGGTGACCTATCACCCTTGACACGGGAAAAGTGCTGCTGACGGACGTGATGTATTTGAGTTTCAGTTTTCACGATAAATTCTCATAATTAATTTAAAGGAGGGTTTAGAAGTGGGACAGAGTGATTAACAAAAAGAGCTTGAATCACGTGACAGATAAAACAAATTGTCGTAATTGACGCTCTAAAACATAATTTGAAACAACTCTAATTGTTGAAAAAGATGTATAATAAATAATTAAGTTTACAAATTTTAGTCGTCATTATATAATTCCGTGCATCGTATAAAAAATAGCTTATTGGATCAATCGGATTTATAGCCTTCTCAGTTTTCAGATAACTTCACAAACGAAGATTTTGGGCACCGTGGATTTTGGGGAGTTGCAATTCCTACTGGAAACAGAAAACGTTTCCTGCACAACGTGCTTCGCTTGATGCACGTTGTAAGAAGTGGTTGATCGGAAAGAGGGATATAGACCACGACCATCTGACAGGCGAGGTGAATAATCACCGAATATACACCATTTTACCAATAGTTACCTCATTTACTCAATATTCGCATAATATAGCCATCAACCCGTCGTTCTAAATAATGATGACATAACCAATATTTTCTTAGGTGCTTGGAGTTGCTCATCCCGAATGCAACAGAGAAAGACGGACAAGTGATAAGATTCCCGTGCTGTTCCACAATCTTCGAGGTTATGATGGTCATTTACTCATCAGGGAGATCAACAGACAGTGTACAAATGTGCGGTTGATAGCACGGGGCATGGAATCCTATACGGCTATTCAAACAAAACGCTTCAACGTTATAGGTTTGTCTAAAAACGTTTTCCATTTCTAAGAACATTATGCAAATGTATAAATATATATTACTGGTGCAGGGACACACGTTTTCACGCTCTTTCTAACACATAAAATGAGAGATCTTCACAATAAGGCAGAACCCATAGGCAAGAGAGATATTTTGCGTTACAGTATTATATTTATTGCATACACTAGATCAACGTTGTCGAGATTATGAACGAACCAACAACAAGGTGGTAACCATCGACATGGACGGGAAACAATGGATGTTTCCGCTATTGAGAAAACAGCAAACGCATTAAAGGTCGTTGGAATGTCAGGAGATCCCCACATGGGAGGTAGACAGATAGACAGAATGGTCAGAATATACTATTGTTATTTGTCAATTATATTAAATTATACTAAAATTAATCGTAGATAAATGTGAATCAGAACATCATTTCAACTTGTTTCATACCTGTCGTTAAGTAATTATGGTAGTAATTAATAGGTACGTAGTGGAGTGCAGTGTGTACGTTCCACCCGATAAACACGACTTCTTGGGCGACATGCCTCCATTCCCTGATTCCCTGAACGTGACAAGAGATATGTTATCTGCCACAACAGTAGGAGACATGGAACAAGAACAAAAAACGGGGGTGGTGGGTAAGAAGCTGGCCCCGAACCTATTTAGGGAGCGTTGCCGTTTAGTGAACAACGAAAGATCAGCACGGTTCCAGGTCACCAAACCCAACTAAATGCGCTTCAAGAGTTTTAATCCGTTAAATACTGTTGAGGAAAAATGTCAACAATTAAAGTCAAAATGTCAACAATTAACTGATACTTGCGGTAATTATTATTCTTTGGCATTTTATCAAAGACGAATAATTAAGTTATATCGTGAGAAAAACATAATTTGTAACAACTCTAATTGTTGAAAAAGATGTATAATAAATAATTAAGTTTACAACTTTTAGTTGTCATTATATAATTCCGTGATTTGTATAAAAATAGCTCATACCTCCCACGTGGACAGCATTGTGGCATGGCGTGGAAGCAACGTAATAGACAAGATGAAGAAATTTAAGTGGTCTTCTCTAAGCTAAAACACTTTTTCCTTGATTTTTTTCTTTTCTTTTCTTTTTTCTTTTCATTTCTTTTTAATTATCTTTTCTATCAACAGAAAGTTGACTTGGCCGACTGAATTCTTGTTCTTCTCTAATTTTATGCAACAAATTATTCAAATTTTTCCTGGTAACAACACAGTGCAGAGGTCCATGGACACTAGCAGCGCAAGTACTTTCTTCACGGCCGAAGACGAGGTCTAAACATTGCCAGTAGAAGGATTGACTTTTTCTTATCATCAGCCATGCTCGGGATTATTTTAAGCTCCTGACAGAGGCGAGTGGTCCCCGGCGAAACACCACCACTGTCCTTGAAGAGGATATTGGAATCAAGAGGGGCCAAAATCAGAATAGAGGCCATACGAAGGCCTGCCCGGCCAGTCCGGATAATGACCTTGGAAGGCCCTGTGGCTGCACTGCTAGGAACAGTGAAAGTTTTTTTAAAGATAATGAGGGCCCCGGAGGTAGTCGCCACCCAGGAGTTTGTGGAGGTTGACTCCATCGGGCTTCAAGCAGCCGAAAAAGGCCTGAAAAACAACCGCCGGCTCAACAGAGTGAGGCCCCAAACAACATATGTTTATAACTAACCCGTGTTTACTCTGTTCACCTTTAAGTACAATCTTGGAGTCCGGCCACACCAAAAGTTTAAAAACAAATTATACTGTGTACGGTACGTTAAGTGAAGAGGTTAAGTTAAGAGTAGGTCGAATTGCGGAAAACAGCATTCATTCTTTGACATTCGAAGACGTCATTTATACTTTAAGCGCCCAAGATAGGCTGATATGCAATGAATTAATACATTCAGATGTATAAATGAATTAATACATTCCACTGTATATCAGTAGACGCGAGCATAGTAAAATTTATATAAGACTTATAAAAGATTAAGAAAAAAAAGCTGAATTGAAAAATGCAGCATCCATTCTTGGCCATTCAAATACCTCATTTATACTTTAAGCGTATGCAATGAATTAATACGTTCTGTATTCATTCTTGCAGAAAAGCGTAGCAGATAGGCTGGTATTTATAATTTAAGCAGTGGACATAGTAAAATTTATATAACACTAATACAAGATTAGAAAAACAACTTCTGACGATTATATCCACTGTAATATTTCCCTGTGCCAAAAATATCTACTGACGTTAATCACTATTTGTAGGCAATTAATAAAATGATTTTCCCTCTAGGATCCACGACGTTTGCCTTCAAACAAAGCTGATTGTCACTGTAAGAAATGTGGTAAACTAGGGAACATTTTGAATAAACCGAACGCATTCATTCAAGATTATACAACAGCTATGAGGTATCCTATGACCAATTTACGATTAAGCTATTAATTTTATATTTTTAAACATTTTTTAAATGTTTTAACGTAGGATTATAAACAGTTAACTTATTAAAGCTGTATATATATAATATTATATTATATACAGTATATATTTTAAACAAAGAGAAACACTCAAATTGGCGGGCAAAGGATCCGTTTCATGATATGTAGAATACCAATCCTCAGTGCCAAATACGTATAATGAATTTTAGAAATATGATATGTTGCTCCTTTATAAAATGCTGGCTAGATGGATGGAAAAGAAAGGGAAAAAAAGGAGAATGGAAGTATGTGGGGAGATATAGAGGAAGAGACAGAGAGGGAAAGGGAAGAAAGGGAACAAGCAGAAAGGACAAAATATATAGATGAACCGACTACAGAATGGGATAGGTTGGACACAAAGATAAAGTAGCGGAAATGGAAATCTCGCAAAAATCTTGCCCGATCACAGCTTACACTTTATGCACATTGGCAAGTTGGAGTCGTTCCACAATAAAGTTGTAACCTTTGTTAAATAGAGTATGCGAAGAAGCGAAGAAGAGGTGATAGAGCTCATAAAATCACGTGACAGATAAATTGCGGAAACTGACACTCACTCTCCTAACGTAATAGCCATGAAACCACGGCTACTGAGTGCTGTTTCCCCAAAATTCCCATGAAAACCTTGAATAAATGTAAGTGTAATGTTATAGAATACTTGGAACATTAGTGTAATGTGTATCCCAGGGGGTTCACAATAGAATGCAAACTAAAGGTAGCTAACAAATAATTTGAGCAATATGCTTTCCGAAGTAGACCACATGGGAAGCGAGAAACTTTCGGGAACGAATAGTAGTCACGTCACCATTGTTAACAACATTCTCTTTCACTAGCAAACATGCAGACGGTAAAAATGAGTGAAATCGACCACAGGGGTGTTATTCCTTGCCCACGCTTCCATGAAGAAGCAAGAAACTATCGGAAATCAACGGGAGTAACAGCGCCAGCGTCTGGCCTAACTGACATGGAGCAACGGGTCCAGCTGACCCAGTCAGTGGCGAGAAGAATTCTTCCAATCGCTTACATGCAACCTTATGTAGTTACGTCGCCATTTAAACATTCTCTTTCACTAGCAAATATGCAAACAACAAAGATGAGTGAAATTGACCACAGGGGGTTATTCCTTGCCCACGCTTCCATGAAGAAGCAAGAATCTATCGTAAAGCCTCAGGAATAACGCCGCCGGCGTCCGGACTGACGGACATAGAACAACGGATAGACCGTAGAACTGACCCAGTCAGTAGCTAGGTATGCTCTTCCGGCAAAACCATCAACGGAAAGAGGCCATGGAGAGGCTGTTTGGCCTGGTCTCGATGATGCCAGTAATGAAAAAGGTCAAAAGTAAGTCATAAATTATTTACTCTCCTTCACTTCAAATTTCTAATTAAAGTATTTTATATCTTTACTGTGGCTAAAATCATCAGTAACTAAATTGGAAAAAGTAAAAAGGTATTAACACTAGAATGTGATTACAAATATTTAATATTTTTAGTTCCAGTCAATCCTTCGATCATCAATTAATTTGTATTAATCTTTAATTTTCATTACTTAATTATTGTCACCTGTACTACGTGGAGAGGAGTACCTTACGAGAATGATATTTTACTAATATACAAGCAGTACATGGACAGCTCTAACAGCAGCTAAGAGGAGAAATACGTATCGTACCGGGGGGTTAAATACGTACAATACAAGCAGTCGGATTCCTGTTTACGAGGATCTGGCAAAACAAGTAGAGCAGACGCCAGAAGACAATTGGTGTGGGTTATTCCGGCAAGTGCGGACAGCTCTCGTAACTGCTTGTTACATGTTCCGTTCAGCACGTGCGGGGGAGCCACTATGTACGTCATGGGGGGACATAGAACAGGTAAATACTCTCAATCAATCAGTAATACAATTTTAATCCTCGTATTATTGATATTATTGTCCGATAAGTACGATACAAGCCGTATTTTATTCTTGAAAAATATTAAATTAGAACTACCAAGTATATCTACAGTAAACGTAGATCACTTCGATCACTTCAGCTTATTATTTGCATAAACAAACACCAATTTGTTAGCTAAGGTTGGGGTGGTGCATCTACGTCCTGTTAACACGATGTGTAGTAAGTAAACAACTGTATCTTAGTCTAACAGTAACACCAGGAAAGTTCGGAAAGATGACGTTAGTTCCAGTCAATGCTTCGATCATCAATTAATTTTTATTAATCTTTAATTTTCATTACTTAATTATTGTCACCTGTACTACGTGTATTATACTTATTAATGTATCTTTACTTAAAATTGTAAACAACAAATTAGTTTTGTGACTAATCGGAAAACTAAAGGTGGAATCGAATATAAGCAACATTTATAAAGAGTCTAGGGTAATATATGTATAATATAAAACAAAGATTAGAAAGCAAATCATTTGATGTGAAGGAGTTGGCCCTGTTAACACGTGTAGCAAGGAAACAATTTTATCCTAAACGAGGAAAGTACGGAAAGATGACGTCGACCGTCGAAAAGACAGGAGAGGTGGAACTCTTAGTCGAAAATATCAAATGATACCTGAAACCAGGCAGAAACCAGGCAGGAACTGACAGAAACAAAGCAAGAACTGACAGAAACTATACAACAAATAATTAGTCATTTATCGTTCCTCAGCTACAGGGGGTTCACAATGGAATGCGAACTAAATAAAGATAGCTGAAGAAAAACAGGAATAGAACTTATAGCTGAGTGTAATTAATTATTACTAATAACTGAGTGTAATTAGAGCAGGATAATCAGTCTTTAATCTGCTTGCTATCCCATTAGGCTAGATTAACTGTTTATTTTAGGTATCATGCGACAATTAGATTATAGTAAGTAACGTATGATAAACCTGACAGCCTATTACCGCTAATGGGGTATTTAACATGTAATTATAACCTGTACAAACAGCACCCCCTCTAATGAGGCTGCCTGTAGATACCTTACTCTCTCTTCAATTTTCATATATCCTAGAACTTTGGAAGATGTCGGATGTGGCATGCATCACTCATTACCTCGTTACTGCTTGTTGGCTAAGCTTAAGATTGTAAACAGATTTTGCTCAGAAAACTTTTAATCTTCACGAAAAGACAGTTTTAAAATCAAATAATGTTATCACATCTCGTTAACTATTAACCAGAATATGAGTCTGCGAAAGTTTATTAAACAGTGTTTTTTGCATAACAATGATAGGGTTTCTCCCCGATGAGCAAATAAATAAATAAGTAAATAAGTAAGTGAAAACGTTAGAGCTGCTAGAACAAAGATATTAGGGTATCTAACGTAATCTCTTAATTTTCAGGCACATTCCAGCTGAAAAACTTATCGACCTCGTCCGAGATTTAGCTCTCACCCCTGAACCAAAGGAAACTAGCCCCGGAGCCACAGCCACGGACTCCGCTTCGACTGCAGCTACATGATTATTGGTTATAACATTTTATATAATCTGTGTGTGAAATAATGTAAAGGATGGGAGTGTACCCCAGTGTATTGTATTTCTATTAGTTCAATTAGCTTCTAATTATTTTTCATCCACACTTCAACCTAATATTGTTCTAGAAGAAACTATAGACAGGGAGTTCTGAGCTATCATCAGAACACCCTGAAGAAAAACCCTGAAGAAAAACCATCAGCACATTACAGTCTTAGCAGTTAGGTTGATCATTATATAATATCTAAACTACAAAGCTAACCCACTGTCCCTATCCATTATTTTCGAGACTGTTAAAAGATAGAGTCATATTTAACGTAACCTGACCAAAAGCCTTTGTTCCTTATTTTGATTTCTTTAGACAGGTACTGAAGTTTACCGAAATGCAAAAGCAGTACTTGAACATAGAGTAACAGAGGACGACCACTTAGCAGGAGCCACAACATTTGACATTTGGACTTGCAAGCACTCAAAGAGAAGTTTTATGGGCTGCACGTCACCAGAGTCCAGAGAAAGAGACAACCTACGGGATATAAGTCGAGTTCACATGATTCAACAGAACTGCACAACTATAACAGTAAGAAGTCCTATCAAGAGAATTTTTAGTCAGGTGGGTAACAGCTATACCGCTATACGGGACGGGATTTTAAGACTGGGGAGAATCGATAATAATATTTATTCGGATTTTTCTTAGATTATTATAAGACGAATCATTACGATTTTTGGTCACCTTTCAGTATGAAAATATTTAGTTAGCTGAGACATTTTTGAAACCTTTTATGGGCGGTTTAGTTTTGGTACCCAGTATTCCTATTAGTTCAATCGACTTCTAATTATATTAATTATATAATTATACATGTATAATATGTATTACAATTATATTATATTGACCTCTGCATCACACTGCGTTAGGACGCAGAGTGCAGAGTGTAATCTTACTTTCAGAAATCAACATTTCAGAAACAACCAATTTTGATTAACCTGACGGCAACATTGCCGTCTAAAGTGGTAAAAAAGGTGATGCGGCATCTAGGAATCTCCAAAAGCAACACCTATGTGTTACATCATAGCCCGCTGAACAAAAACACACATATCACCATTATGGATAATGGTGGTAAAGATTTTAATCTGTTAGGAGCACTGAAACATGTCGTTCAAGAGCTTACTGACGACTGACGAGCACAACCCAAAGCGAGTCATTTTATTTTGCAGAACTTTACAAGACTGCGGAATGATTTACAGAGACATCTCACATAGCAGTTTCAACATCTTCAACGTCAATATTATTGACGAAACTTAATATTTACTCTCCTTCACTTCAAATTTCTAATTAAAGTATTTTATATTTTTACTGTGGCTAAAATCATCAGTAACTAATTTGGAAAAAGTAAAAAGGTATCAACACCAGAATGTGATTACAATTATTTGATATTTTTAGTTCCAGTCAATCCTTAGATCATTAATCTAGTCGCTGTTATCTTTTCAACATGCCACCAAATCGGGAATAGAACCAAAGAAACGCTCTAAGAACTAGACAAGGCTACTACTTATTTACTTATATTGGCTGGAAAGAAAAAGACGATTCTCGGTGGTAGATTCAGTACTACGGTTTCTGCAGAAAGGAAGACGAATATTTGGGCTGAGATTGCCAATGTAAATGGGATTAACGGGAAGAAAAATCGGAAAGTAAAATATCTGAATAGAGATGGCAGAACATGATTTGAAAATCAAGACTTTAATAGTTCAATATCTTGAGAAATTTAAATACAACCGTGCTAAAAACCTTCATCTCCATCCAATTTTTAATGTGATACTAGCTACACTAATACGTCTTCTATTGTTAACAATAAACTTCAAGAAAGTCGGACACCGGACAAAACTATAATGTAGTTTGAGTGCTCTTTAACTACGATATTTCAATTAATTAATTAGCAGGGGAATTAATATTTTAAAAATGAATACGGTAACAATATGTGCTGTAATAATCAAAAATTGTTGTAAATGTCAGGATTGCTCTAATAGCGATAAATAAACTAGCAAGATTAATTAAAGTCACTGTCCCTCGCAGTACATAACTTAAGGTCTTGATAATAGTGTCCAACATGAACAAAAATCTACGCATTTTTAAATTTTTTCATTTGAATGGATATTTGATTCACTATATTGGCTTGCAAGACGTCTCAAAGTTAATATTCACAGCAGCGTTATCTTTTGATGAAACCGCAATTTTCTCATCGGGAAGGAATTTGTAGCTTTATAACTTACGTTATCACGCGATCTCTATATG